TCGTTAACTGTTCAAGAGGAGCTGTTGTTAAAGTGTTTAAAGACTGGACTGTCAGCCGAAAATCTGGGTCTGAACGTGCAAATTGTGTCCGTCAGCGACTAGTCAATGTTAGGTGCAGTGCAGTGTCAGATTCCTCGCATCACCTTTCAACATCTTGTGGAGTCACAAGGCGGCCCAACAAAGTCATCTTGTGGCCCAACGAAGTACTGATGGGGTGGTCATAATAATCTGGCCACTGTGTGTGTGTGTGTACGCACGCACACACACACACACAGTAGAGGTGCCCCTAAATGGAAATGTTAAAACTGAAACAAAAAAAATCGTCAGGCCGAAACCGAAAATGTTTTTTATTTTAATTTTTCAAATATTTTAGTTTTATTTATTTTTTTTATAAACTTTTTAATTTTATATTTGTATTTATTCATTTTTTACTTTACTTTTAGGCGTTTCGGGGAAGTATTTCCCTTTTAAAGTAGAAAAAGAGATTGAGTCCTCAATCTCTTTTTCTGTATCCCCTGTTATAAATGAACAGGAATCCTCTATGAGTGTTCCTGTTCATTGATAACATGGTATGTTTACTATAACCACAATCATGAATGAACAGGAGGTGATGTAGATCACTCCCATTCATTCATGATTGAGGATATAGTTAACATACCATGTCCTCAATTATCTACAAACACTCAGCGATCACTGAGGCTGGGTTCACATCTAGGCGTATCGAATATGCGCAATTCGCGGTAAAAAAACGTGCGACAAACGTGCGTTTTCGAGGGCTAGCTGGCTGTATCCCAATGGATACGCGTCGCAAATACGCCCCAAAGAAGCTCCTGTACTTTTGGCGTAGGGCGTTTTGCAGCGCGTTCCTAGGCGCTGTAAAACGCCCAGGTGGGAACCATGCCCATAGGCAATCATTGGTTTTCACATGTTGAGCGTTTTACAGGAGCGTAGGAACGTGCTGTAAAACGCCCAGGTGTGAACCAGGCCTGAGTGTTTGCACTTGCTCTCCTCTCTGACACGCTGTCACAGGAGGCTGATCGAGCGGTGCAGGGAGGAGAGCTCAGCCTCCTGTGACAGCACAGCCTGTCTCCGCCCACGCACCGCTGTGATAGGAGGCTGAGCAGTGTGGGAGGAGAGACACCGGCCGCTCACAGCGCTCTCCTCCTGCAGCGCTTGGCCAGCTATCACAGTTTCTCTCCTCCCCGCTGGGACACAGAGCAGCGCCCAGCGGGGAGGAAAGAAATCAGGGATGCGCCGATGTATCGGCAGGAAAATGGCACTTTCGGCATTATGCATCCTACATTATGCTACACACACACACACACACACACCACGTAATTCATACTTTTTATACCTCCAACAAGCAATTATACACTATAAGGACTGGTTATTGTTTTTACACAGTTTATACCTGTGTCTGCTACTATCCTTTCAAAAGTAAAAGTTATTTAAAAGAGTAGGCATTAGAAATTATTCCTGTCCGCTCACATGTATTAGGAATGGCATGACCGTGTATCACCAGGAGTGCTCTTCATGGGGCGGACCAAGGTTCTCTTTAAAGAGCAAATAAAGGTAATTGGTGCTGCTAAACAAATCCAAAAAAAAATAGGCAAACATGCTTAAAGGATACAGTAGCTGTACTTTTAGCATTATTATGCTTACTCCAAAATGTATTATGTCTACTCCAAAATTGAACCTTGCGATATCCGGGGCAAGATAGGGCCGCCGTACATAGTATTTGAGGTTGAATAAAGACATAAGTCCATTAAGTCCAACCTATTGCTGATGTTATTTCGTTTTTTTTAAGAGTACCTCTACCCCTGTATATTACGGTCTCTCATGGAAATCGTCCGACGGTTCGATCATCGGACGAAAACTTTCGTCCGATGATCGCAAGTGTATAGGCAGCCTAAGTCTTGGGAAAGGGGAGGTTGCCGGGAAGGGCAGGGTGAACATACAATGGATAATTTTACTAATAGCACAGTTTTCCTTAAAACAGAAAAAACACTTATCATCTGAGCTTTGACCAATTCAGTACAACTATCCTCTGTGAGGTGATTGATTTTGTTTCTGGAGTCTGTGCCATGTAACTTCCTCATTCTAGTCCTGCTTGATACATCAACAATCAGATTCAAACATTTAGAGTAGATTTTAATCTGGCTGCTGGCTATGAGGAGCCTTAGTTAATACATCAGGTTTTCTTTTAGTCCTGGTTCAGGAGTGTTTTGTAGCACTTTTTCTGCCCTAAAAAAATATGCCAAAAAAAAATCCCATTTATTTCTATGGCCCTGTTCACATCTGAGCATTTTGTCGCAATAAGCAAAACACATTTAGCTAGAAAAAGTACACAAGATTTTTTTTGGCATATTACAGCTCGCTTTAGCCCCATAGACTTAATAGGAAACACTTGAAAATGCACATTTGCTGTGCTTTTGTGCGTTTGCTCATTAACATCAATTAGCTACAATCTGCTTATAAAAACGCACGGCTTGATTTTTGCACATAAAACGCACACAGATACGTGCATAGAAATACAAAAAAACGCTGTCGCCTAGGTGTAAACCCAGCCTTCGGTATAGGCAACTTGGAGCCTAGAGTGGTTATGTCTGAGAACACCTCTGTTGCATCCCAAATAGGCAAGCAAAAAGGGTTCTCAGATCGACACAATCCAATAGAAGGTAGAGCAGTGAACAGGTACATTATAGAAATACCTGGAATAAACAGAGAACTAATGAGCAGGGAGGTTATATTTCCGACAAGCACCCCCAGGCTTCATTTCACTGAAGTGTACCATTAATTCTGGTACAAAACATAAAGCTTGGAAAGGAAACCTGTAATTAAAAAAAAAAAAAAAAATTATAGGGCTACCATGGCTGACTTTCTAAAATGCTAGTTCACTGGTTGTATCTGACTGCTATACTTTGAGTCACTGACCTATAACAAGCATACAACAAGGTTCCATCTTTACAATGCAGGCATCAAACAGTGCCTGGGCTTACATTTAGATGTTCTCTTCTGTAGACTGGTAGCTCTTGGCAATCTCTTAATACCTCTGGGAGTCTATGGATATCATGCAATGCCCCATGGAACTTGTAGTTCCAAAACAGGTGGAGTGCCAAGGTTGCCTACCCCCTGCCATGGGTCATTAAGTGAGATGGGGGAAAGGCCGGGGTCAGAAATCAACGCTACTGGAAGTGTCAAACATTGCAGATTATAGTAGCCCAAGAGTAGGGGTTCCTGCGCTGCAGAAATTATATGTACAGGCATCACTTGGTCCTGCATGGCAGTGCTGGAACCTGTTCAGTACCTATAGGGTACAGACACGGTCATTGGATGCTGCCTTTAGTTGCCTGTAAACACTAGATGGAGTCAGTCATTTATAGTACAACTATAGCATCAAAAACTACATTTTGTAGACTGTACAATCGGTATATTTTATTTATCAGTGTAGTGTTTATCAGTGTAGAAGTGCCCCCTTGCATTGGTGGTCAGTGTAGAAATGCCCCCTTAGATTGGTGGTCAGTGTAGAAATGCCCCCTTAGATTGGTGGTCAGTGTAGAAATGCCCCCTTAGATTGGTGGTCAGTGTAGAAATGCCCCCTTAGATTGGTGGTCAGTGTAGAAATGCCCCCTTAGATTGGTGGTCAGTGTAGAAATGCCCCCTTAGATTGGTGGTCAGTGTAGAAATGTCCCCTTAGATTGGTGGTCAGTGTAGAAGTGCCCCCTTGCATTTGGTTGTCAGTGTAGAAGTGCCCCCTTGCATTTGGTTGTCAGTGTAGAAGTGCCCTCTAGCATTGGTGGTCAGTGTAGATATGTCCCCTTAGATTGGTGGTCAATGTAGAAGTGCCCCCTTGCATTTGGTGGTCAGTGTAGGATATCAATGTGCCATTGCTCAAGGAACCACTAGCATCCTCAGCAGGAAACCTGGTTGAGAAAGGTTGGTTTAAGGTAACCATTGCAGTTCTGCTAGAACCATTCATGAGAATGTAGGATGTAAGGCTGCTGTACTATTGTTATATTCCAAGTTTAAGACTTTTTAGCAAAAAAAAAAAGAAAAAAAAAATCTACAAATGAACCTTTTCATTTGCAAGTCCTCTTTATTCTGTGTCTGCATGGTGACAGATGCTAGATTGGAAACTCCTTCGAGGGAAAGTACCGATCTGAACGATTCAGTGTTTTCTAGGCACTTCTAATGATTTTACGTCTTACCATTTATTTAAAAAAAAACAAAAAAAAAAACTTGGTTATGCAAAATTAAAAAAACATGGTAAGGTGTCAGTTGCTACCTTAGAAGGTGTCCTACATAAAAAGAGATAGGTCCCTAGGCTACGCTGCAAAGAGCCTCTCCATTGCCTATGTGGCGCTATGTCACGGAGACCCTACAACACATGCCGATCGCCTTATTCATACATCACAATGATGACCAGCCTACTGCCATGTGCTGGTGCTCATACAATTCAATTACAGCCTGCCCCTCCCCTCCAGTCTCAAGTCCAGCTCCTGACAGTAATCAGAGCAGAAACACAGCAGCCTGACAGGCAATCACAGAGCTGCTCAATGAAGTTTTGTATGTCTTCTGCTACCTGTCAAGCACCCCCCACACATACACACCCATGCCCCCAGGTAACTGGCCATTTTAGAGCCCCCCCACTTACAGTATAGTGAATGCAGATGGGATACATCACTGCTCCTGATTCGGATCTCCCCTGATTCTCCAATCCTACAGAGGTTGTTGGATTCCACTGCAGCACCTTGGATCTTGTGTGTTGTTATCTGTGCACTGTCCAGCAGCCCTGCAAGGGTTAGCTATTAGCATGAATAAACAGCAGATGCTGCATCCCACCCACAGCCTGGATACTCCTATGCATGTTCCCTGCTTAGGCCATCTGCTCCTCTGCCAGCCGGCCCTCTCCTGCAGCCCTTGACAAGGCAAGCCCACACCTTCCCTGGAAAGGTGCATGTACTCCACGGTGACATGATCGCTGCCCACAGCCTTAGACTTACCCACAGATCCCTGGATCGCCTCTGACTTGCCAATCACAGAGCCAGCTCACTACATCACAGGCTGAGGCGGCTGCAGCTTCCTGGCTGGAGGGCTGAGATGTTAGCAGGAGAATAGAGGGGAGCCCGGAGATTGAGTCTTCAGTGCAGCGGCTAGCAGCTCTAATTCCACCATCTTCCACCTCCTCCTCCTTTTCTTCTCCTTCTGCAGCCACCAGCAGCTCTTGCCTGGGAGCTCCTCCTTCCTCCCTGTGACATCAGTAACACACACAGCACAGCCTGACTCGGGCACTCCCAACCCTACACACAGGCAATGCTACCCAGCCTGAGAGCACAATAATGGAGCTTCTGTATCATCCACCCACTTCAAATGCTGCCCACTGTACACCCAGGGCTGCCCTCTCACCTGCCTCCAACTTTTCTTTTCACATCACTTGTATTCACATATCACCAGTAAATAAAGGTACCACACAAGGTGTCATTTTTATAGGCAAGCCATGGTAGAACAACAAATCCCATCATGCCTTTGCCTCTGGGAGTCATGCAGGTGGCTGTCAGAGTCTTGCAATGCCTCATGGGACTTGTGGTTCCACAACAGCTGGAGGGCTGCCTCTGATTTAGGCCCTATTCACACTTGAGCTGAGCGTGTTTGGGTGGTTTTTAAGCCTTTTTTTTAGTCTTGAGCATTTTATTTTTATTTTAAGCCAATGCGAAGCTAATTACTAAGCAATAAACACTTGAAAATGCGTGTTACATGTGTTTTTTCATGTTTTCCAAGTGTTTTTCAGGCATTGCCATTGAAGTCTATTGCGGACAAAACACCTGACTGCTCCAAAAGAAGGCCATGTACTTTCAGGTGTTTTGCTCCAGTGTGAGCAGGGGCCATTGAAAACAATGGGATTCCTCTTGTTGAGCCTTGTAGCGCATAGCAGTGACATTCCTATAATGAGGCAGCCTGATATGGTTCCCTCAGGCAGCAACTCTTTGGGGGGCAGCAGGTGTGTATGTGGGGTGGCACAGGTTGCTAAGAGCTAAACGCTCTTAGCAACCTGTGAGTTTCTGTTTGGCTTCCCACCTAGCTCACTGGCTCCACTGGTTGCCAGGAACTGAGCGGGACACTCTGGTTGGCGTCCCACCAAGCTTCTGGCAACCAATGACATCAGTGGGCTGGGGTGGGACGCCAGACAGTGCCACCCCTCCTGCCCACCCCCTGGAACGATCATCCACTGACAGCAATCCCCCTTGTGTAGGGACAGCCCTGGAGCTTTGGCATTCGAGCAACAAAACGGTCAGGTGTAAATGGGGGCTTATAGAATAGGTTTATAAGCATTGAAAAAGAAATGCAAACAACAACAGAATATCAGAACATTTAAGAAATGGGAGGGCAATATATCAAAACTGGAGCAGATAAAATCTGGAGCAGTTGCCCATGGCGACCAATCAACGGATAAAATCCCCCCGTGTGTATACTGAGGACAGGGCATCGCAACAGGCCCCGTTCACGCCTAGGTAATTTGTAGCACAGGGGCCTCTTGCACTGAACACAGGACAGAACATTTGGGAAGTATAAACAACTTTTAGGGTTCAAAAATGGGCGTATAGGCATACAGCGTAAAACACACCTGTATTTGTGGTGCCCAGGAGCCCCAGCTGCTGCTATCTTCCATCCATAGGCTTGTACGGACAGAAAATGCTGGCGTTTACATTTACACAATCATGGGAATGTTTGGGAACAAATCTATGGACAGAAAAACGCAGCAGCTGTAGCTCTTGGGTGCTATATATGTATTGTACATTGTATGCCTATACGCAGGCCGGATTTACTCTCTCTGCTGCCCCAAGGCCAGGTTCCTCATCACCCCCCCCCCCACCACCACCACCAAGGAGACCTGCAGACTGCATACAATGTCGCCGAAATCACTTGTACAAAACAAGCGGTGGCTTCCCTGCTTTACATTTAGCTCCACTTGGCCAAAGCAGGGCTAAATGTAGAAAACAACTACCCGTCCGGGCATCCGGAGATATCAGTTTCACACGCATGCTGCCCCTCTACTCTTTGCTGTCCCAAGGCCGGGTCTTGGTTGGCCTTGTGCGATATCCGGCCCTGCCTATACGCCTGTAATTGTGCCCGTGTGCCTGAGCTCTTATGCTTTCCCAATCACTTCCCACTACATTTAGATGTCCTGGGTAAGCCGCCTTTACATGTGTTTAGTCATGTTGACATGCATAAACCGGGCTAAATGGTCCTGGGGCACAGATGATTCATAAAACGTGTGAATGTAGCTAGACTGAATGCACCTATGATGCTGAATGTCTAGGTGTGCATTTGGCCATAGCAAAGCATGGGATTGTACGCCCTATAAACAAAACAAATACCTTCAATCGTTGTAACATCCGACAACATACCAAATACATTTTTTTTAATTATAATTGACCCTTTATATAAAACCAATGCTTATGATTAAATCAACTTATTTAATACTTCTTATTGTTTTGGAAGTGCGACAATCCCATGGGGCCACTACTCCTATACGTCCTTTTCCGTGGCCCTAACATTACAGGTGCATGTACAAATGAGCTCCAAAAGCACCTGAGTTTTAATTCCCATGTGCATGGGGCCGAAAAGCGACAATGCTCAACAAGAGGAATTCCATTCTTTTCAATGCCCTCTATTCACACCTGAGTGTTGTGTTACTTGTCACCGGCCACGTAAAGCTTGAAAAAGTACATGAGCTTCTTTATGGGCAGAATCATACATTTTTGCTTCAGTGGCTTTACTGGGAGTGCCTAAAAAAAAGCATGTTTACACTCATTTTTCAGATGCTCCCATTTAAAAGTCTATAGGGCCAAAGAAGCTTGATTATGCAAATTATTATTATTATTATTCAAATTAATAATAACATCACTTGAAAATGAAGAAAAAAAAATCTCTAAATCACCTGACTACACTCACGTTGGGTGTGAATGGAGCCTAAAGGTGGCCATACATTGTACGATTTTCATTCAAAATGTTTCATTTCTGGTACAAACCCTCATTCGATTATACCTAGACTTCCCCATCAAGCATAGTCACATGTCGATTTCGGAAATCGTTCGTTAGCCATACTAACCAAACAACTTATAACGAACGACAAAAGTAATTTCCTTTTGCGCGTGTGTTGTGTTCTTGCTGAGATTTTCGACAAACGAAAACCCCACTGATTCAACGATTTTCGTTCGCTCAGAGAAAAATTTTCCAACTTGACCGATCGAAATACTTCGATCACAATATCAAAAACAAACAATCGGTGATGTACCATCGATTACCGTTTGAAAGACGGTTTGTGTCCTATTTCTGAACGAAAATCGTACAATGTATGGTCACCTTTAGGCTGGAAATACGCTATGTGCTTTTTCTTGTTCACCCCCGTAAAAAAAAAAAAATGCTTGGTTACCCATCCACTCTAAAAAGCCTATTGTATTCTGACGGTGGCGCATGTGCCGCTGCCAGAATACCTGAAGTGTGACTGCAGCTGATTGGCTGCAATCACCGTTTGGCCAAAAATTTTCAGAGCAACTCCTTTGACAAATGTTGATTACAAGAATAACTTTTGTTGAACGGGGAGTGGGGACGGGGCCACAGACTGCTCAAATTTCAGCTGTCAAATCAGCTGCAGAGGAGCTCTGCATTCTCACACGCTGGATAAATGATATCCAATTTCAAGCCATTACAGTCCTGATACATGTTGTCCCTTGGTAAGCCCCAATGAAGTGGGTCTTTGTGTGAGCTCCTGAAAAGCATTGGATATTTCTATACTGTCCCCTCAACCCTATATCAAATAAAGCTGTACCTGGACAATTCAATGGAGTGTGGTGCAGTATGGTCAGCTTAAGAATACTGATATACTATACTGTATATATATATAGACTTTTTTGCCAAAAGTATTGGGTTCGCCTGCCTTTACACGCACATGAACTTTAGTGGCATCCCAGTCGTAGTCCATAGGGTGCATTAGTTGTCCCACCCTTTTCTGCTATAACAGCTTCAACTCTTCTGGGAAGGCTTTCCACAAGGTTTGGGAGTGTCTATGGGAATGTTTGACCATTCTTCCAGAAGCACATTTGTGAGGTCAGGTACTGATGTTGGACGAGAAGGCCTGGCTCGCAGTCTCCGCTCTAATTCACCCCAAAGGTGTTCTATCGGGTTGAGGTCAGGACTCTGTGCAGGCCAATCAAGTTCCTCCACCCCCAAACTCGCTCATCCATGTCTTTATGGACCTTGCTTTGTGCACTGGTGCGGAGTCATGTTGGAACAGGAAGGGGCCATCCCCAAACTGTTCCACAAAGTTGGGAGCATGAAATTGTCCAAAATGTCTTGGTATGCTGATGCCTTAAGAGTTCCCTTCACTGGAACTAAGGGGCCAAGCCCAACCCCGGAAAAACAGCCCCACACCATAATCCCCCCTCCACCAAACTTTACACTTGGCACAATGCAGTCAGGCAAGTACCGTTCTCCTGGGAACTGCCAAACCCAGACACGTCCATCGGAGTGCCAGACAGAGAAGCGTGATTCATCACTCCAGAGAACACGTCTCCACTTCTCTAGAGTCCAGTGGCGGCGTGCTTTACACCACTGCATCCGGCGCTTTGCATTGCACTTGGTGATGTAAGGCTTGGATGCAGCTGCTCGGCCATGGAAACCCATTCCATGAAGCCCTCTATGCACTGTTGTTGTGCCAATCTGAAGGCCACACAAAGTTTGTTGGTCTGTAGCTTTTGACTCTGCAGACAGTTGGCTACTTCTGCACACTGTGCACTTCAGCATGTGCTGACCCCACTCTGTCGTTTTACGTCGCCTACAACTTAGTGGCTGAGTTGCTGGTGTTCCCAGTTACTTCCACTTTGTTATAATACCACTAACAGCTGACCGTGGAATATTTAGTAGAAAGGAAATTTCACAAATGGACTTATTGCACAGGTGGCAATGTATCACGGTACCACGCTTGAATTCATTGAGCTCCTGAGAGCAACCCATTCTCTCACAAATGTTTGTAGAAGCAGTCTGCATGCCAAGGTGCTTGATTTTATACACCTGTGGCCATGGAGGGGATTGAATCCAATGATTTGTAGGGGTGTCCATATCCTTTTGGCTTTATAGTGTATTAAAGATGAATATAGAGTACAGAAATTAGTTAGAAGCAGAAGATATTGTAAACAATTTGATAGGACAGACAGAAGGAAAGAAAAAGT